AGTTACATTATTCTCTGCTATTTGAAAAAAAATACAATAGCACTGGGCCTCTTCAGATTAAGCAATTATTTTAAAAAGCTTCTTCATTTTGCTAAGCTGTCTGGAACAATGATAAAGCAGTCTAAAAATAAGACTATTAATCGGAACATTCTACAGCCATTTATAGTTATTGACTTAACATACTTGCAGCAAACAGCCTGCTTAGCACAAGGAAAAAAAAATCTTCCTCTGCCTCCCAGCAATCTACCTCTGTGCAGCAAACAGCAAGTTTCACTTTCAATTTCAGCATGATCATCAGCTGTTTCAGGCTGCAGGGATTGCTATAGCCCAGTGATGGCGAGCCTATGGCACACTTGCCACAGGTGGCACGCGGAGCCATTTGTCAGGGCACAGGAGATGCTGCCCTGTTAGCTGGCTTTATAGGAGCCTGGGGAGGGCAAAAAGAGTCCCCCCCCCGCCCCCCCGGAGGCCCTCCGGAGGCTTCATGAGCTTCCCTGAAGCCTCTGGAGTGCAGAAAACCGGCCCTATGAGCAAACCGGAAGTTCAGGAACGGACTTCCGGTTTGCTCGGAGGATCGTTTTGACTGTTCCGAAGGCTTCAGGGAAGCCTCCTGAAGGTCCCTGAAGTCTTCAGAGAGCGCAAAACAACCCTCCGAGCACTCCGGAAGTCACTTCCGGTTTGCTCGGAGGGTCGTTTTGACTGCTCCGGAGGCTTCACAGAAGCCTCCTGAAGGTCCCTGAAGCCTCCGGGGGGGGACGGGGGAGGCTGTTTTCACCCTCCCCGGGCTCCTATAAAGCCTCTGGAGCCTGGGGAGGGCGAAAAAAGCATGCAAAAAATGGGGAGCGCCTATAGCGCGCGCATGCGCAATGGGGGGTTGTGCATTGCATTATGGGTGCAACATGCCCGCACACGACCCCCCTGCGCTCCCCCCACTTATGGCACGCGAGCCAAAAAAGGTTTGCCATCGCTTCTATAGTCTATTGCAGCCTCTGCAAGCTCCATTTTCCCCGTTTGCTGCAAGGAGGTAAATTGCTGGGAGGCAGAGGCCAAAGAGTGGGGGGCGGTGAGTGGGTGGGGCTACATTTAATGTATAAGACGCACCCAAATTTTCACCCTCTTTTGAGGGGGGGGGGAAGGTATGTCTTATACTCCCAAAAATACGGTAGATTCCTCATGCAGCCACAAATGATTTTGGATTGATCCATTCCTCCCCACCCATCCACCCAAGCTCCATAGAGCCTTACCGATCTGTTCCCAAGAGATGCCAAACAGTGCGAGGAGATTCCTGTACAGGTAAATCCTCGTCTTACGACCACAACGGAGCCCCAAATTTCCCTGGCTAAATGAAGCGGTCGTTTAGTGAATGTTTTGCTCCATTCTACGACCTCTTTATAGCAGAGGCCATCCAGATTGGAAATGTGGCCTGGGAGGGCCTCACCCAGCTCTTCCAAGCTCCATTTTCGCTAGCAGAGACACGGCGGGCTGGTCCTTCGCGGTTTCCACAGCTGCCCCCCGTGGGCCAGAATTAAGCATCCGCCCCCTCGGGCCTTGGGTTTGACACCCCTGTTCTAACTTAACCACTGCGGCGACTCACTTAACAACTGTGGCAAGCAGAGTCGTAGAATTGGGCAACATTCCACTTTAACCAATGTTTCACGGTGCAGCAGAAATGTTGGGCTCGGTTTTGGCCGTAAGTCAAGGACGACCTGCCTTAAATGATGACGATGACAATTGGCCTTGGGGTTGCTTCCAGTGCAGTCACCGCAGTGTTCGGGGACGGCTCCTGCTGAGTACAGGGATGGCATGCTATTGCCACCACCTGGCACGGTATTTTCAACTTCTTAAGATGGCCACAAGACAGTGTTGCTTTCCTGCTGATCGTAAAACTAAAATTAAACTATCCGGAGGAAGTAAACGGATCGGTAATTCCCAGAGATAACATGATCCATCCTCANCTATGAGAGACAAAATGAGAAAACAAATCCAGACAATCCCATTGTCTGGATTTGGAAAGAGTTTTTTTTGCAAATATATTCTTTCAATCTTAGGAGTTTTAAAAACCCGGAGCAATTTTCCCATGGCTGATATTTTTTCCCGTAAAAATTTCTCTGTCTCGTCACGCTGCTCCTGCATTGTTAACTCATTTCTCTTCTGGGCAGCAAAATAACATATAACGTACATACAGGTGGTCCTTGAGTTACAACCTCGATGGAGCCCAACAAACAAGATGGTTGTTAAGTGAACCCTGCCCCCTATTTTACGACTTGTCCTGCCACGGCCGTTAAGCAAATCGCTGCAGTTATTAACTTAGCAAGATGGTTGTTAAGCAAATTTGACTTGCCCGCAGACTTTTGATGATCGGCAGTTCGCCAAAGGGGGGGGGGGATCACGTTACACCCCCCCAAACGCTACAAACCGTCATAAATATGAAGCACTTGCTAAGGGTCTGACTTTTGATCACATGACCACGGGGATAATGCAATGGTCATAAGTGTGAAAAACTAAGTTACAAGTCACTTTTTCCGGTGCTGTTGTAACTTAGAACGGTCACTAAACAAACAGTTGTAAGTCGAGGACTACTTTTTAATTTTTTTTATTTTATTTTTATGCAGCACAGTTGTGATGGGCAGCATAAAAAAATGAATGAATGAGAGAAAGAAGGAAAGAAAGGAAGGAAAGAAAGAAAGAAAGAAAGATTAAATTTCCATAACATTTTGCATTCTCATTTTGCTTCTAGAACGTTAATTTAATTTCTGTTTGTGAGGGAGGCAGTTTAAAAGTTTGAATAAATAAATCCCTCCGGCTCTTTATTCCTTCGACAGAACGAAGTGAACACCGAGAACGCTGTCAGTTCTGGAGAGCTGGAGAAACAAGATTCCCCTCCCCCGAAGCCACCGCGGACTCGCAGGTACCCTTTTCAATCAACTCTTGGTAGATCGCTAGGGATCCGTCTGTGACGTGGCTACATTTCCGTTTGGGTCGCTGCATAAACGGAATTCAGGCGTCTTTCGCGCTATGAAAAGGAAGGCATTCTCCAGCAATTGTGTTGGGAAACTCCCAGGCAGTTGGAGGACTCCAACAGAGGATTAAACTACCGTATTTTTTGGAGTATAAGATGCTTTGAAGTATAAGACCCTTTTGGAGAGGAAAACAAGGGGAGAAAATATCATTCTGCCTCCCAGCAATTTGCCTCCTTGCACCAAACAGCAAGCAGTATAGACAATATACACTCTTTGTGGTGTTACGTTTCAGACTATACTTATAAAGTAAAGTCAGGAGCCAAGGTGGCGCGTCAGGAGCCAAGGTGGCGCAGTGGTTAAATGCAGCACTGCAGGCTACTGCTAGATCAGCAGTTCAGTGGTTCAAATCTCACCGGCTCAGGGTTCACTCAGCCTTCCATCCTTCCGAGGTGGGTAAAATGAGGACCCAGATTGTTGGGGGCAATATGCTGACTCTCTGTAAACCGCTTAGAGAGGGCTGAAAGGCCTATGAAGCGGTATGTATATAAGTCTACTGCTATTGCTATAAAGATGCTGTTAAAATTGATGTGGCTTTTTGGAAGTTACATTATTCTCTGCTATTTGAAAAAAAATACAATAGCACTGGGCCTCTTCAGATTAAGCAATTATTTTAAAAAGCTTCTTCATTTTGCTAAGCTGTCTGGAACAATGATAAAGCAGTCTAAAAATAAGACTAT